TTATTTTAATAAACTTGGAAGACATCTACTAGAAGATGTTTCATGCCAAATACCTAAGCTCTACCGCTTTTTGTATTGTCACAAGAAGATTTTTTTTTAGTTTTTACTATACACATATAAGAAATATCAATAACCTCATGGGGCAGGGCCAATTTTGACCCTAGGGCTTTTATTTGGACAATCATGGTAGACATCCACTAGAAGATGTTTCAGGCCAAATATTTAATCTATAGTGCTTTCGGATTGTCGCAAGCAGATTTTGTAAGTTATTACTATATACATAAAAGGCAAATTGATTACACCCTGGGGCGGGGTAAATCTGATCTTAGGGCTTTCATTTGAACAAATTTAGTAGACATTAACTAGAAGATGTTTCACGCCAAATATATAACCTCTTTTGGATTTTCAAAAGAACATTTTTAAGTTTTTCCTATATACATATAAGGAAAATCAATAACCCTTGGGGCGGGGCCAATTTTGACCCTATGGCTTTTATTTGAACAAACTTGGTTGGTAGATATCAACTAGAAGATGTTTCATACCAAATATCTAAGCTCTACAGTTTTTTTGACTTTCACGAGATGTTTTTTTAAAGTTTCACCATATGCATTCAGAAATATCAATGACCCCTGGGGCGGGGCTAAGTTTGACGCTAGGGCTTTTATTTTAAATGTTGACTCTAGGGCTTTTATTTTAACAAACTTGGAAGACATCTACTAGAAGATGTTTCATGCCAAATACCTAAGCTCTACCGATTTTTTGGATTGTCACAAGAAGATTTTTTTTAGTTTTTACTTTACACATATAAGGAATATCAATAACCCTATGGGGCGGGGCCAATTTTGACCCTAGGGCTTTTATTTGGACAATCATGGTAGACATCCACTAGAAGATGTTTCAGGCCAAATATTTAATCTATAGTGCTTTCGGATTGTCGCAAGCAGATTTTGTAAGTTATTACTATATACATAAAAGGCAAATTAATTACACCCTGGGACGGGGTAATTTTTGATCTTAGGGCTTTTATTTGAACAAATTTAGTAGACATTAACTAGAAGATGTTTCACGCCAAATATATAACCTCTTTTGGATTTTCACAAGTACATTTTTAAGTTTTTACTATATACATATAAGGAAAATCAATGACCCCTGGGGCGGGGCCAAATTTGACCCTATGGCTTTTATTTGAACAAACTTGGTTGGTAGATATCAACTAGAAGATGTTTCATACCAAATAATTATCTAAGCTCTTGCTCTTTTTTTTTTTACAAGAAGTTTGTTTTAAGATATTTGGTAAAACAATCTTTCGGTTGTCATGGCAACCAGAGTTCTCTTTGGAATTTCATTCTTTGAACAACTTTGGTAGAGCTTCTTGCAAGGAACATCTCTGCAAAAAATCAACAAATTTGGCCAAGTGGTTTAAGAGAAAAAGTTGTTTAAAGAAACTGGTGACACACGCACGCACGGACGGACGATGGACGACGGACAATGGACCATCAGAAAAGCTAACCTTGAGGACATTGTCCTCAGGTGAGCTAAAATACCTGAAAAATTGTGTTAACTGAACAATAACATGCTAGTTTTCCACATGGTTTATTTCAATTTTAGTCAGGCGGTGGTGCTCAGCCTTTATATCTTGGAAATTACTGCCTCCTTGAATTATGTATGTCCCTTTTAGCAGTCAGTCGGTCATTCATTTCCCTCAAAAAGCTAAGGCAATTTTTTTATGAAATCAGATGTGTTGGTTATTCTGATATAAAGTAGATGTATTTTTACTTATTAAGAATATAATGATTAGTAAAGATTGGAGAAATGGTATTGGCATGTTTTATTCATTTGTTCTTGTAAGTTCCAATGCCAACTAAATTCAGCATAAATTTTACTGATATATTAAAATAATCAGACAAGCCACACAAACACGAATATTTAGTAATTAAATTTAATTGCAAACGTTTCGGCTATATATATTATTATTTTTTTTTTTTTTTTTTACTGATATATTAAGATATTTAGATCAATTTTGTATTATTCCTAAATGCAAGCATTCAAGATAGCATCATACATTTTCGCCTTTCAGTAGATTCTAGAAATCACTGTTTCTATTTGATAAGCACTGGTGTTTTTCTTGAGTACAGACAGCTAATATCACAGTGTAAGTGACTGAGGTAAAGTTTAATCCACAATTGGTATGTTCTTTTATGTTTATATGTTATTGCCTTTATAATTGGAACTAAATGTACAACATGTTTTTATTGTACATTGTTACGTAAATTGTTAAATGTTAATTAGATGCGGCTACAATACCAATGTTAATGTATTTAAATTTGCATTTTATATCCACATGATTCATTTAAAAAAGATAAAATCATGGACTATTACTTTTCGCATATCTGTTGATAGAATGGATAACTGATATTAAGGAAATTGTAATGCATGTATAATACCAAATATTTAATTATAATATGGAACATTTCATATTTGTACTTTCCGGGTTTTATGTATTAAGTTGGTGATGTGTTATGTTGGGTTGTCTACTATTTTGGGCGTGTGCTGTTGTTGTTGTTTTGTGTGTGCGTATTTTTGTTTTTTGTTTTGATGTTGTTTTTTTGCGGGGGTGGAGATTGTTTTATTATTTTTATTTTTATTTTTATACCAAGGCTTTTAGCTAGGCAGCAGTTGTTGATTGGCATTACTAGTATTCGCTGACGAAATGTATTAGAAATGAAAAACCGTGATCACTTAATTTGTTCGCATTATTTCTTAATTCTAAAATCGGTCGTATTAAGAGAAAGAAAAACAACAAAAGAATGTCTAAATCAGATAAACTGAAAATGTTGCAGACTCGGTTTGATTGAAATTGTTCACGGACGGAACTGGAATGTGCGAGCTACTGTTCACAGACACTAGCACCGAATTAAACATCATTCAATAGTTAATCATGAAAATAGATAATATAATTTGAAATTTAGAAACATCCACAGTCTACAAACAAAACGTGTGTGTTGTGAATAGCACGAAGATCTTAATAATCGAACAAAGCGGTAATACTGTTACATATATTTTCGACCTCTGTCAGTCAAAGATAATTTCAAACGTTAAGTGTTCGAACGAATTTACTTACCGTCATCGAGATAACACGGTGTGTAAAAATCTATGAAGGTAAGTTCAATGCTTTGATGTTCCCCGGCTTTGATTGTAAACATTTCTTCTAAATTTTGATTAAGATTTAAATACGAAAGGGATGTAAGGAACATAACTGGTTCTTTGCAAAGTTCCTTTCTTCTTTTGAAATGTCTTTTCGATTGTTCAAGTAAATCGAGTTCAAAGCAGGCTGGAGTTTCTGGAAGGAAAGGAAAAAGCCTATGACAACCATGTTATTGACGACAGTCTGAAACAATATTAGTTTCAGGCCGTTTTGAAATAAAATATGGAATAAAACTGATGTAAGATGATTGCTAAATTCTAGAAAGAAATTGTTTTTTTGAAACAAAAATATTTTGAAAGGTTATTTTGGTTAAATACATTGTAGTATGTAATTACATGTAACCAAAACATATGATTAACAAGATCAACAAGGAAAGGCGGCGTTCAATGAACGCAACCAACACACGACCTAGCAACAACAACCAGTGGTAAGGAGCCCAGGCGGACCCCAAACAAAAACAGGACAGGGCACAAGACCGAGCACGGACAGGCTTATCACTGAAATGATAATTAATATGTAACTGACAGAGTACGGACAGGCTAATCACTAAAATGATAATTAATTTGTAACTGATAAGGAATTCAAAGAAAACAAACAAATGATTAAATAATAGGAAATAATTTGTAGCTGATAAGGAACTCAAAGAAAACAAATAAATAATTGAATAAAAGGCCCGCAAAGTCAAAGGGCACAGCGGAAGAGGACAGGAGACCCGGGGAAGGGAGGGGGGGGGGTAAATTAAAGAAATAAGACTAGGGGCGAAGGAGAAGTTACTAACCGTAGACGAGAATACAACGAGGGACACAAGCGAAAGTGTCACCAAAGCAGTTTGAAATAACATAGACATACATCTAAGGAACACAGAGGGGCGCCGCCTTGGAACGGTCAGCAGCACAAGTGCTGCTGGGGAGTTTAAACCGGTTAATGGTGCACAAAACCTCACTTTTAGCCCCACCATGTTCCTATAAACGGGACAGTGTAAATAAAATGAATCCCCGCCAAGTGAAATTCTAACATTTGTTATGGTTACTAAAGGTTAAATAAGTATAACACCAAAATGATTATGTAAAAACATATAAAAGTTAACCCAATGACCATAACAAAATGACACAAGTTCATTGAGTTTTTTAATCATTTTAAAGCAACGTGACTCTCCTTTTATTATATCCATTATATTTACAAAATATGGGACCAACAAAAAGCTTGAATTCAGACAATAATGTAAAGATCAAAGTATACTTGTGGGCCGCTTTCATGGTAATTCTGTTTTATCCGTCACAATAATATATTATATTATATCGATCAAATATCTTGCTTGTTGAAAAGAAGACTAGGTGTCTTTAACCACACTCGATTTATCTTTATAAAAATGCTTAAATACGATCTTTATATATAGAGGTTCAGTCAAGTGAAATAAAAATTAAATAAGGTTATATTCATAAAATGACATAAGTCTTTGTGAAAACCAAAGTTGCACCAAGTAATTGCGAAATGTGAAAGTCTTTTGACTGCACTGTTGAGAATAATTCTTACACTAAACGGACATATTCCTTCCTTTTGATCCGTTAAAAAACAAGAGACATAATTACAAAGATTCGATGAAAAGGCACTTCTATATAATATACCACGCAGTTACTTGATTTCAGTCAGAAAATGTTAAAATAATTTTTTAAAAGCCAGTCATATTTACAGCATAAATTAAAACAATTATAGAGTAAAAATAACAAAGCTTATATTTCAAATAATGACTGATGTATTTTAACTTGAATAAAATATATAATTATATTAAATGTACCTTCAGCGGTAACAATTGCCCGGAATTTGATTGTAGGTGACAATATCGTCTTGGAAATAGTTGATAAAAACAACAGATTTTTGTTTGTTTCTATTACAAATACTTCTTCGTTAAAAAGATCATCTATGGCGAATATGCTGTTGCTTTCTTGTGATGTTTTAACAATAAGTGCACACTGCTTGAATAAAAATATCATGTAGCAATCTCAAATATATATAACTACCTGCAAAAACAACATATGTGTAAATGTATCTAATAATTATATGAAGTGTTAGTTAAGTGTTGTAATGAGGAAGTGTCGAATTTAAATTTAATGGAATCGTTATAAGACAAATTAGAAAAGTCGGCCAAAATTAATTTCCGAAGTAGATTTCAAATCAATTAAATTTTTCTTACTCTTGCAGGTATCGTTCATTAAACTAAAATTGTATTCTTAAAAACATATAATTTAAAACTGTAGACACATTATTTAAAATGACCACTCCCTAAATTAATAGCGTAAAAATAGTAAAATATCGAATAAAAATGTTTTTTGCAAATTTAGTACAAAACACTATCACAGACATGGCTGTGTTTTTGTTTGTTTGCTTTTGTTTCTTGGATTTTTCTATTGTTTAAATGTTGTTGTACATACTTATTTAGATTCAATGTTATAAGTATAAGATAAATATAATGTCATGCATACCTCAGATAATGTTAGGTTAGTGAAAACTAGTTTAGCAAATTGACGTGGCTCAAAATTTACAATCCATTGTATATCTCTATCCAATATTGTTTTAAAGGGGTAACTTAATGAGGCTATTATGGAGTCTGTATGAACGTACTGTACGTTTCCAAAAAACGATCCATCCGGGTTGTTCGCTCTCGGAAATACCATCAGATGTACTGTGTTGACAAGAAAACATTACACGATGCTTCTTAATTTTCTGCTAAATTAAATATTATATAAATTGTCTAAACAAAGGCGTCTTATATAGTGGATTTCTCGTGACTTTTCACTTTATTTTAAAACGATTCTTGGAAAGTGTTCAAAATCGAGTTTAAAAATATATGGGACATGTGAATGTTTTTATTACTTGATAAAGAACAATGAATGTAAAAACTGTAACTTCGGAAACAAAATGCAAAGTCTTTGTGTGAAGATCTTTTTCAAATAATGACGTTTCCCATTACTTTGTTGATGTTGACCTAGTCACGACAAAAATGAATAAAAAAAAACAAATAAGAAAATATTTGCGTACCATAGTTGTGTAGTTTTGTAAACCATTGACTACCATTGGCTATCATAGAATGTTTCCATATTCCAAGTTGACTACACTTGTAGTGCTGACAAAGTCTATCTTCATTGATATTGGCAACGCTACAACTTTTGTCCGAACTACAAAGACTTTTACACTCCTCAACACTTATATTTCCAATAAGATATGAATCTCCAGATCGCAATTCTTGTTTTAGAGGCACCAGTTCAGATAAACTGCCACTGTTGATGTCAGTGATACCTGTTCAAATTGATCATTTCTCCGACATGAAATGTTATTACAAATATAGCATAGGGCGTGTGGTTACATGACTCGTTTAACATGGAGTGACCGGTAATGAAAATGCCTAAAATTTTGAAGTATTTGCTATTTTATATATTTCGATATGTCTGCTTATATTGGATACACCAGCGTTAAAGGTATTTCATAACCAAGTGCTGACGCAAAATAAGCGCAAATTTTACTTGATCACCAATGCAAGCAAAATCATGAAGGTGAAAGCAATTTATATCTTCATGATAAAACAAGTGTAATTTTTACAAGTATGTTACTAACCATCCTGTAAATCGTGCGTCATCTTCGCTTCATTACCTTCGAAATAATACAATTACAACTGTTTACAGAAAAACATGCACTTCACTTCATAATATTTTCTACTTACGTGTCAATTTACAGCCGAACAATTTGAAAGTAAGACATCTAGATTTGTTTGCTGGATTTTCAAGTACTTTATTGAATTTAACGTATGTTGTTTTGATTGGTCTCGGAAAAGTGAACATTTTCATAGGATGTCGTAATAAGTACGATGGGGACATTCTAAATTCCTGAAAAGAAATAATTAAGCAGTATTATGTTTGTTTTCTTGTTTTCTTGTAGTATGCTTTTAAACAGTGCATTTAAACTGATAAAAACCAAATGGCTGACTACTCTTATTTTCACCAACAAGCCGTGAAAACTGCGATAATAATATAATATAATAATACTTAATATAAACTTAATACACTGAATGAGATTATACCTTGTTCTATAATCTAAAGTATAAAGATGGTATATAAATTATTGTTCTGTCACTATTGGGTACCTAGGTACACCAAAACTGAATATGTATACATCTAATTCAACGTGTATATACTTTCTCCGGATTATCCTTATTGACAAAAATATCTGTAGCCTAATGTTTGTACATGTATTAAAATCTATAAAGATTTTGAGTTTGGACAAAATACCTTGTGATCTTAACGCTATTCCTGGAAATATATCGGACTAATAAAATTACCAAAGAAACAGACGAAATAAATCAACATAATTGTACGAGCTTGTATTTATAAATGAATTAGATGTGCATTTGAAAGACTTAACTCGATGTATTTGTGTCATAGATTGGCCCAGCTTTGAGCTTGGAACAGTTTTTTAAAGTTGTCCTGGTATTCAAATTAAAACACAAACAGCAAGTACCAAAGGCTTATCACTATTAGGTTCAGTAAGATAGAGGTTAGATCTGTGGATAAGTGTTGCACACAATCAGGGACTGGCGAACAGTATATACAGTTTATGGATTTCTTTATTTTCTGAACACTTGATTAAAGCTTTATTTTATGATTTTATAATTTAAGCATTTTATTGCATTATTTACACAGACGAATTTACCATGTCCTTGTAAAGCTGTAGTTCGTCCTTACTCGTGCCATAATAGAAACTAAATGCCGTCCACGTATCCCAATCTTTTGGAAAATAAATACCGATTCCTTCTATTGTTGTTAAAGTGAATAAATCCACCTAGTTGAATAATAAATGTTGATCAATATTATATGTAACTTTTAACTTTTTTAATAATACGGAACAATACGATTAGCCATGCTTTCACTCTCTATTAATACTAGACACTTCAAGTGTATATAGACTCCATCAAACCGAGCTTGTAACATTTTTTTTTTCAAATTTGCATTTGTAAGGGATTCTGTTTTCTGATTTTAGATTTATATCTTAAAGCTTTAAGAGTGTTAAAAGGATTGTCTTGCATATCAAAACAGGGTTTTCTACTGTTTACACAAGTGCTAGAAAACCTTGTCTTACAAACCCAGTGCAAGACAAGTAGCGTGCTTCAAATGACGTTATGCAAAATTAATAAGAAAACCCTTTTAAAACTAATAATGATGCACAAAATGACAATAATATATGAAATACATCATCCATTCTCATTCAAAAATCATTGGGTCAAAACGATAACGAGTTCAAAGATTATTTTGATATATCTCATTTCAAAGAAAGAATTGAGGCATAAAATAACAAGTCGACAAATATCCATGCAGTCTCCGTTTATGTATATAGTAAAATTTTGTTAGACACGTTCATTTACGAAATAGTTTAGGTCATACTACAAAACGTATAAAACAAACTGTATCAAATATATTTAAAAAGTTTCTTTATTTTTTTGCTTTATGATCAAATTTAAAACTGTGAACACTGTTAGAATTCTCAAAAAAATACATGCATCTCTTAATGTATGATGAAAGGACTTATTATATATATATATAAATTTAACAAACCAAAATCCAAGGTGTCATGTCTGTAAAGTCGTGAATCCAACTTGTTAAACTGTCGTTGAATCTTGACAGTATTTGTTTTGGATGCGCAGAGGAAACAGTAATCTGACTACCTGCGGTATGTTCGTCGTCTACATCAATACTTTCTAAACATGGCTCACCATTTTCTAGAAGAACGAGATAGAAAATATTTATAATATCCAACAGAATCATCACAAGAATGGCTTGTTTAACACAACCGAAAATATTACAAGGAATAAAAACAGTCACTGAAAAGATTAAAAAGATAAAAATGATGGATTTTTAATTGCCTGTATAATCAAAGAAAGCTTTGGAAATAAAGTCAAAGAATGATGATAATGTATTCTGATATTCTACTAGTAAATATAATTATATTTCACGATCGCCATCCAACTTATAACAATTGGCTTAGGAAAACGTATTGTCTAGAAGTTTTATGTTTCGGTAATTGAAAATTGTTATCCGACTTATAAAACAAGTACCTCAATATCATTTTGTTAATTCAAAGGTGACTATATGAAATTTTAAGTTCGGCTAAAAAAGGCAATTCATTATGTATATTTTATCAACTTATTCAATAAAACATATATACACTTTTTATATCAAATGAGTACTCGGTAAAATTATTATATCACCATACAAAGGGTTGTCCTAGTTTGTTAGGTTAATGCCCTTGAAATGTACTTACGTTCTTCTATACTCGCTGTGTAAACCTTAAATGACATATTGCCGATGTATGTACTCAATTCAAATAAGAAAAACCGGCCATGGGTTCTCCTGCAATTTCAAACATAAAAGATTATAAAACTTTCAGTATCATTTGTTAGATTACATTTTTCTACGATGCAACATACGCTTTCTGTTTTGATTTTATTTGTGTGTTTCAGAAATCTTATTATAAGATAAACCACCATCAAATTTATTCGTAGACCTGTATGAAACTTTAATCGTGACTTTTGTCAAAAAAGAGAATCTTCATTTGGAATTAGTAATATCCATACAATCCAGCAAATAAGCTGTAAAGAATAAGAAAAACTTGGGTTATTTAAAATTTTGGCAGCGCGGTTATTATAGCTAAAGTGATTAGATTTATTTATTTAAAGTAAATCTTGATACCTTATGATCGGCTGCCTTAAAGTTTGTTGGGATCTTAGAGCACTTGCTTGTGAGTCTGTGTAAGTATAAACTAATAAATATATTTAAATGATGCATTTGCGAGGGGTATAAGACTGCTGTTGGGATATAAATCAAACATAATTCATATATGTAAATTTTTACATGTTTTTGCAATAAATAAAACAAAATATCAGTAAATAAATGACAAAAACCGTTTTGATATATATGTGCTTTTCAAACAATATATCAAAACAAGCATTACATGTAGAATCAACTAATTTTATAATATACTTTATCAAATGCATCATTGAGTAAAGGTTGGTAAATCCTCTGTACATGTTTACGACTTCTACCGTTGACATACAATAAGATGCCGATTGAATAAATGTAAATGAATACTTGATTTACCTGAAATATATTTTCCCAGGAAGAGTGGTATTATCAGTCTTACATACAAAACCGTAACGCATAGGCACATCAGAGACATAGCACTTCATAGAGGTAGTAAGCTTCAAGAACAAAATATTCAGGTATGAAATTTGCCGAAAAGCAAGTCCAGCTCAATTTAAACTTGCCCCTCTAGTTATAGAATTTCTTGACACTGATTTTTTTCTTCATAATAATAATTCATGAAGTGGCAAGTGTGGTTCTTGTTAACAAGTATTTGAAGGATGTTATTTCAAAAGCAAAACATAGTAAGAAATAGAAAGAACAAATTAGTATTTCAAATTATCTAGAAATGCTATTTTTTATTTCTAGCTCTCGAGGTACCTAAAAAGGACCGGTCACATTAATTTCAACAAACCTGAAAATAAATCATCTAACAAAACTTCAAACAAACTTTGGTGATAATCCATGTATCAGTGCAGTAGAAGAAGATGTTTACAGATTTGTTTCTACGTTCAGCTCTTGCGGCTCCTAAAAGGGGCCAATCAGATTGATTTGAAAAAACCTGATAAAAAAGACTCTATGAATGCTACAGTTTGGTGATCATAATTCATCAATTAAATCATAAGATGTTAAAAGTTTTGTTTTTCTTAGCTTAAGTGGCCCTTAAAAGGGGCCATTGAAATTAATATGAGAAAATTTGATAAAAGACTTTCTCAGAATGCTATAGACAAAGTTTGGTGATCAGCCGTCAATTCGTTTAGTAGAAGAAAATGTTTAAAAGTGTTTTTATTTTTATCTCTAGAGGCCCCTAAAAGGACCGAATCAAATTAATTTGAACAAATTTGATAACAAACGAATTAAGAATGCTACAGACAAGTGATCATTTATCAATTAGTTCAGTAAAAAAATATTTGTATTACGGTTTTCTATTGTAGACCTGTAAAAATAGCCAATTGAAATGATATGAGCAAACTAAAACGTGACTCTTTAAAAGATGCGTCAGACCTAATTTGAAGTTAATTTACCCAGCAGTTTCAGAGAAGAAGATGAATGTTGACGCATGGCGACAAACAACCGAGCATACCCTTGCGATACAAATACCTCACCCTGTACCTACCGTTCTGGTGAGCTAAATAACGGTCACTTTTTAATGGCACGTGTCTCTAATGGTGTGTAAGAGTTAAAGCATAAATATCTACTTTGTGTAAAGTCAAAACATGCTAATTGTTTATATTTAAATTGAAGACTGTGTAGCAATTATTAATATTTCAAATATCAAGTTTGAGCATATTTAATCAAGTAACTTTAAACTCATATAATAAATACTATAAATTGATATACAGTCATGTAGTTTTTTATTGTGTTATTTTTAATGCTTTTATGCTGCTGAATGACTTGATTATTGTTTAATGTAACCCGTATTGGATCTCAAACAGCTCAGAGTATACAAGTATATGGTATTGAGTGGTTGATTACAGAGGCATAGACTGTCATGCTTAATATCTTTACATGATTTGTCCCGATCATGATATCATTGAATTGCAGAAGTTACAAGTTACCGTATGTCTACAGTAATATTTTTATCTGGTAAACATTATAAACATTAATAATTCCTCAAATATCAAATTGTATAAACTAAGAATTGTGTGCGTAAAAAAAGTAAAATGCTACGTAAATTATTGTTTTAAATGAAAAAGGTATAAATTTTCTCCTAAATCACGAGGTCGAATCATTTGAAATAAATGAATATGTTTCGGGTATATTGTAGTACAGTCCGTCATCAATATTAGGAATATTATGAATTCAGAAGTTGCCTAATCAGACAATACAAATGTCCAAAGAATGTGTAAATGCTCTGCAGATTTGGTTATAAGAATTGCTTATAAGGATTTATGAATTATATGATACCGACATACTTACTAAACTTGAAGACTTAATTTCAATCATTACGACCTCAAGTGAGCGCTGACAATCAATGAAATAAAACCAAAACTCTGTCATCTCTAAAATGGAACAAAACAATATCTAAAATGATAAAATTATATTCACTTTCGCATTCATTTTTCATAGCCTAGGCTCGTACAAATTTGAGTACGAAATAATGTCGTCTAAACAAGGAATCCATACTCTAAAAGCTTGTAATTATTTCGTTAAACATTGATTTTAAAACACATATTTGAATAAAAACGCAGGAAAGACATACATTTATATGCTATTACACATGCTGCATGATTATACGAGGGGTGTTCGGGAAGTTTAAGGACTTTTGCTGTATTTTTTTCCTTAATGGTGCCTTTTTATCCATATTTCACAAAATGTAATTTAAATATGTGCTAAATATGTAGTTTAACGCTCACTATCAAGAAAAGACAAATACCGCTCGAAACTTGTTTCTATAGGAACCGCATAACGCATATCCGGAGCACTCCGATTTTATCGTATTTAAGTTAATGGTTCCGATATATTTAATTGATAATGATTTTCTTAAATTACAATGGATAGCGTCACGAAAAAGCACGAGCGTTAAATACAACGTCAACGTCATTTCCTGAAAATTCTACTCGTAAATCGTTACAATTGTTTGAATAACAACAGTTTTAACATCACTGGTGCTTACACAAATCAAGAGAAAAATGACGTCAATAGGCGACGTTGAAGTCAGGGCAATCATCAAGTTTTGTGTAGGAAATTGAAAGGACACCAACGGATACGTATAAAATGATTCAAGCATCTAGTACAACAAAAAATGCTGTAGATCGCTAGTATTTAGATGGCACGAGATGTTCCGAAAAGGAATAGAGTCAATATAGGATGACAAGCGATGCGGTCAACTGATGGATTTTCGATTTTTTTCGGAAATCAAAGCACAGCTGCATGGTCGACGCTTTGATTCCGGTTGGAATTACAAAGTGAAACCCAGAGAATAGTTTCGTCATTCGACAACATCTGGTACAAGGACACGTATGACAAATGGGTCAAGAGGCATAGAAAATGTATCGCTGTGAATGGAGATTACGTCGAGAAGTGAGTCGATATGACGATCGGGGAAATTTGACGTTAACATATTTAGCACTGACGTGACGTTAGCGTGCTCCGGGTATGCTTCGGTGTATGTTTTGTTTTAAATGTTATTTACTTGTTGTTTAATGTATTTCATTGTAATTTTTACAGATGGCTGTTAAAGAATTAAATATTTTTACGGTGTTTTTCTTGCTTTTCAATTCCTATTATTTTTCAAACTACAGCAAAAGTCCTCAAACTTCCCGAACACCCCTCGTATAACGTTTGCAAATTCGTGTCATGTAGGCTTTAAAGACATGATGTTAAATAATCCTACCTTTTTCAAATATGAACGAGAGATATCGCTGATTTAGAGTTAACTCTGAAATTTATAAACAAAACACACTGAAAACTCAAAAGTATAACAGCTTAATAAGATAATTATTTCTTTCAGAATGGATACGATTCTTTATTACTTAAACTAGCATAACGAACATGATTTTTATACCCCCGCACAACAAAGTTGTAAGGGGGGTATACTGGAATCAGCTTGTCCGTCCGTCCGTCCGGCCGTCCGTCGTTTTTTTTGTCCGCCCAATAACTTTAGATTCCTTTGACCCTTAGTCTTCATATTTGGCATGGAGGTTAGTCATGATTAGTAGATGACCCCTATTGATTTTGAGGTCACTATGTCAAAGGTCAAGGTCACAGGGGCCTTGACTTCAAAAAGCTTGTCCGCCCAATAACTTAAGATTCCTTTGACCTACAGTCTTCATATTTGGCATGGAGGTTAGTCATGATTAGTAGATGACCCCTATTGATTTTGAGGTCACCAGGTAAAAGGTCAAGGTCACAGGGGCATTGACTTCAAAAAGCTTGTCCGCCCAATATCTTAAGATTCCTTTGACTTACAGTCGTCATATTTGGCATGGAGGTTAGTCATGATTAGTAGATGACCCCTATTGATTTTGAGGTAACCAGGTCAAAGGTCAAGGTCACAGGGGCCTTAACTTCAAAAAGCTTGTCCGCCCAATCACTTAAGATTCCTTTGACCCATAGTCTTCATATTTGGCATGGAGGTTAGTCATGATTAGTAGATGACCCCTATTGATTTTGAGGTCACCAGGTCAAAGGTCAAGGTCACAGGGACTTTGACTTCAAAAAGTTTGTCTGCCCAATAACTTAAGATTCCTTTGACCCACAGTCTTCATATTTGGTATGGATGTTGATCATGATTAGTAGATGACCCCTTTTGATTTTGAGGTCACTGGATCAAAGGTCAAGGTCATAGGGACTTTGACTTCAAAAAGTTTGTCCACCCATTAACTTAAGATTCCTTTGACCCACAGTCTTCATATTTGGTATGGATGTTGATCATGACTATCAGGTGACCCCTACTGATTTTGAAGTCACTGGGTCAAAGGTCAAGGTCACAGGGACCTTGACAAAAAAAAGCTTTTCTTCTCAATTGCTAAAGAATGTCCTGTCCGCAATGTATTGACATTTTCACATTTGAAGTTTGTTTGTTTGTTTCATTTTACGCCTTTTTCAACAGTATTTCAGTCATATAGGCGGGTAGTTTCCTAACCATCGTTCCTGGAGAGTTACACCAGTACTAGACAACCTTCCTCCGCGCTAAACTACCAAAGCATCTCCCGGGGATCGAACCCACGCCAGAGAGGTACCTGGATTAGAAGTCATCGACTCTAACCACTCGACCACGGAGGCGGTTTCACATTTGAAGCATGTAGAATACATAACTTAGCAATGCACTGGCTTAGTAACCTCAGATTTGGCAGGGAGGTTGTCCTTGAGCTCTAAATGGCCACTGTTGATTCTGACAAAGTGGTATGCGGGGGTATTCACGCCATGATAGTGGCAGTTCTAGTTTGTAATAGTTATAGTATATAAAACGAGTTAGTTACCAGGATATAACACTGACTGGGGCGACATTGTTGGTTTTTTCTGCTTAGGCTGAGCTGACTATTATTTTTACAGAAACATCCCGAAATGTCGCCACCCCAGCCAGTGTTATACCCAGTAACTTACGAGTTTAATGTTGTATAACTGTTTTATCGCAAATTCGTAATAGAAATCTGCAGAAAAACATGTGCACTTCCCTCTATTGTCCTCTTAAATTACGTTTGTTTCAAATGAAAACCCCATATAAAATGAAAAATACCATCTAATGCTGTCGTAAGCTAACTTAAAGCTATTTATGATAAGACAGTTGTTTTAAACTGTTTCCGCTGCCTCCAAAAAAAGAAAGAAAAGAGAATAAAACAAGATATACAACCCTTGAAAATTATAAGACGTCAAATGTTAGAGACTGATAGTTTACTAATACCTTGTGCAGAAAGTAATGTTGGTTCAAGATTAAAGTACTTTTCAAGTGGAATTAATTCATTCAGAGGATGAACCTTTTCATTTTAGCAGTTGTATTAATAAATTTCATTTCATTGATTATCTTCATTTACATTTTTCAGAATGTTGGTACCGATGCCTATTTGTGACAAAATACTGAAATAGACAAGGTGCGAAAAAAAACTCATTTGTTATATATTAGTTGAGTTTTTTTCCTGTATGAGTCAATGAAAAACATGCACATCTATATATCAATACAGTTTTCAAATGTTCATTGAAGTTTACTGAGTATAATGGGTTAGTAAGAACAAAGAAAAAGTTCCAAAACATGCGATAACTTGTAGTTAAAAGTTGTGCACATCATTTATTTTATATTCACGTTTATGCCGTATTTTGTAATGGCTGATACATTTAGATAGTGAAATAACAAGTACATTACAACCATATATAAATGAGATTGATTTTAATTAATAATTAACATGACTGCAGATGTTTAACCCCTCCAAATACATTAAAATAGACTTGTCCGTGTTACAATCTGGGCCAAATGAATTATTACTTTAGAGAAACTGTCAAATATACTGAATATACTGTCAAATAAACTGAAAATAAAGAGAGGCGACATGTTTACAAATTTATTATTAATTATTTTTTGATATCGGGATTAATTGAAAATGGAAAAGTGTACTGTCTGTAGGTACTTAAAAGAAGTTAATAGAATTTTAAGCAAGCCATACCTGTTGCCGATTCATAATCAATGTTCGTAACTGAAAAAAAATCAATTAAACAAAGAAAAACTCCATTAACATTGCACATTCATTGCAGAAACATATTATTTAGATAATGGCACATGAAGAAAATATTTTTCATCCGTTTTAAACATCATGGCAAAGTTTATAATTTTTCCTTATTATGCACAAAGCACACATTTTACACAACGTATATAGACATTCATAAATAGTTGTTTATATTTTGATATTATTATAGTTATATATTAGTTTTAGTTATGGTGGACCTTAACACATCAAAGACATAGAAATATTTTTTTTCGATTAAGGTAAACAAGTTTTATTTACTATCTGAGGGTGTAATTATCTAGAATAATATATGCTTTAAAAGACGTAATAGACGTAGTTGTAAACTGGAAAAAACAAAACATCTCGTCATCTAGTATTTAAGATATAACCAATAAAGCGAATGTAAAACATGAAAGTACTTGAAAAACTTTAAATGCATACATTTCTTTGTTCAAAATACCCCTAAAACATACCTGTTGGGTTATAAAAACAGTATGTAAATTTCTGCGACACTGTTGCCATGTCAAATTGGGGACAATTTGTATCTGGATCCTGTAATGATTAAGAAGCACTATAAACTAATACCGATGTTATTTTGTTATATGTACAATTAACCAATTAATTAAGGATGACAAAAAATACAGAATTCGTTGTTTAAATTCTTGGTCATTCTTCCCATCGAGTACTCGGTTATACAACTTAGCCTTTTCTGCCAACAAACTTTCGAGAAACGAGACGGTATTTCATTTATAAGAATGACACCAACAGCAATTCACTTTTGTGGCTTATCCTAGAAATATGACAAAAGTTCCTTAAAAATGAAATATATATATATATACGTATAAACACGTGCTAATCGCCAGTTGATGTTAAGTGTGAATAAATTACCTTTCGACATGTATTTATAAAACAGTATATTGTTATACCTAAATAACAATAAATATACCCAACATATTTATTTTTAAATACTTCGGATACAATAAATATAAGAAAACTCTTGCCTTTTCAAGAATGAAGTCAGTTTCCAACATTTTGAATGATACATTTGCATAAGAATCTCCGGTTTCCGTAAAATTCGTTTTTTTACACACCGATAACGTCAAAAACTCTTCTGAATGGCCTTCAATGGAACGTAATATTCTTTATTTTTTATGTATGTAATCTTTATATTAGTAATATGTACACACATACAACGAAAGCAAATGAAACGGGAAAAAAGCAAATGCTATGTAAACGATTGAATCGGTTGTACGATATTAATACTTGAAGACATCGACGTCATACCAGCCACATTCCTTATCATGTAAACATGTAATGGAAGTGATGTTATATAACAAGAATGAATAACAACAACAATAATATAGTTAATAAATTCACTCAGCCCACCGAACTCTTAATTGTCTGATTATGTGTGTAGAGAATCCGATAAATAAATAATTACACATTTATATGTTATACTTGTGAGTGGATTACTGATTTATCTTTGAAAATTATATTTGATAATTTAAAAGTGAAAATTATCGACCTATAATTTCAAACTTTCCAATAAAGAGACTACTTTTTAAAGATTTTCACCATATGGTACCTTACCTATAGTGACAAATATAATATCTTTTCCGTTATATAAGTGTATATAAAACCAGATTTAATTTGGAAGGATGAAACGGAATTTCGCCAGAAAATGAGGCATTGAGTGGGGAAAACCGATTTTATTATACAAGTTATTATTGAGTAAATTTCATATAAATTTTAATTAAAGCATAAAATAAAACGAAAATTTGATTCTTTGTTCTATTAGATGTATTTTGATTTCATCTCGTGAACTTTAAAAACATTATTCTCACGTGCGGTCACGCCACTTGTATCAATAGAGTTTTTTTTAAAAGCTTACACGATGAAATAGAATTTCATCTTAAAACACACAAACAAACATCCACTATATATTTATTATTTAATTTTAAATATACATACCTTCTTCAGACACTGTAATATTTGGAACAACACCATATGACATAAATTCAAATGTAGGAAGTTGTATACTAGATTCTTGAAATTCTAAAAATATAGTGATACAAAGATTAGTATGGTCTTTTTAGTATTTTTAAAAACATTTCCAAGTATCTTTCACATTAATGAATATAAAGGAAGTGATGTTTAGATAAATCGGCGAAAAGCAAAGTGACGAAAATTATAAAATGAAACTTGCAGACTCTATTTAAATAAGTTAGTAAGTGATATTGGAAAGTGAGAATCTGATAAGAAATTAGAAATTCGTCAAATATCAAAGAATTGAAATATACCTGAGGGGCATGATACGCCGATTTTATAAATGCTGTAATTTCCTGGAATCCATTGCCCTTTATCAAGCATGACCTCATTTCGGATTTTTACACAAAACTGAAGCGTCATCATTGATGTTTCCGCATGGTATGACGAGCTATAGTAATCACCAAAGAATTTGTCAAAAACCGACTTATCGAACCCAAACTCGATATCATAGAGTGTCATATCGGCAATCAAAGAGCTTTTCAGCCATCCTCGCGATTGTGACTCCGGGCAGCCATATATGGACATAGGTATTGCGTATGGCCCTGGTGGCCACATGCTCAGCTTTTCCTTTCTTTCTGTAAACAGGAATTGTAATGCAGGTTAATATTAATTTTAAAAGCTTTTTAAAGGCATTTCGTCACAAAGAATGTTTCCAAAACTTCAAATGTTTAAATAATATTTCGTTCCAAATTTGTTTGCGCGAACCATTTTCCTTTTCATTTAAGGCCCTTAAACTATTTCGTGTTAACACAAACCTTTTTTATACAAAGATCAATGCCTGAAACTATTTAGTGTTAACCTTTTGCAAATTACATACTAGTATTCCATATTTGGATAAGAAATCGTGATTTAAAAAAAAAATCTTTTCCAAATTCCAATGGGAAAAGTGTCAAAAAATGTCAGACCATGACCTAATTATCTTATTATAACCCCGAAACGAAGTTTTGGGGGGTATGTAGAAGTCATCCGGTGGTCGGTCGGTCAGTCGGTCGGTCGGTCAGTCCAGAGGTCTGTTGCATTTTCCTTGTCCGCAGCATAACTTGTAGATTAATAATTGGAATTCTATACAACTTCATACAATGGTCAAGCACATTGAGAGAAAGTGCAGTGCATAACTCAATCTTCCCTTACAGAGTTATTGCCCTTTGGTACTATTCTTTGTCCAGAGCATAACTTGGAAATTACTGGTTGGAATTCAAAACAACTTCATACAATGGTAAAGCACATTACGGGAAAATGCAGTGCACAAGAACCATAACTCTATCTAAAGTAATTACAGAGTTATTGCCTTTGTTACTTTCCCATTGCTTTTTTTTGTCCGAAGCATAACTTGAAGACTTATGGTTGGAATTCAATATAACTTCAAAAAAAGGTCTAAATCATTAAGAGAAAGTGCAGTGCATAACAACCATAACTCTATCATGACTTATTCCTTGTCTGGAGCATAACTTGAAAACTACTGGTTGGAATTCAAAACAACCTCATACAATGGTCAAGCACAATAAGATGAAGTGCAGTGCTCAAGAATCATATCTCTATCTGAAGTTATAACAGAGTTATTGCCCTTTGTTACGTTTCCATTGCTTTTTTGTACGAAGCATAACTTGAAGACTAATTTCTCGAATTCAAAACAACTTCATACAATGATCAAGCACATTTAGAGCACATTTAGAGGAAGTACAGTGAACCATAACTCCATCTCCACTCATTTAAGAGTTTTTGCCCTTTGTTACTTTTTCTTGTCCGGAGCATAACTTGAAAAGTACTGGTTAAAATTCAAAACGACTTCATACAATGGTCAAGCATCATTAGAAGAAGTGCAGTGCACAAGAACCATAACTCTGTCCAGAGTAATTAGAGTTATTGCCCTTTGTTACTTTTCCATTGCTTTTTTCTTGTCCAGGGCATAACTTGAAAACTACTATTTGGAATTCAATACAATTTCATACAATGGTCATGTATATTGTGAGGAAGCGCAGTGCATAGAAACCATAACTCTTTCTTGACTCATTTAAGAGTTTTTTTCCCTTTGTTACCTTTTATTGTCCAGTGCATAACTTGAAAAAAAATGGTAATAACCATAACTCTATCTTAATTTTACAAGATATTTTGTTACTAGTAACTTTCTCATTTCCGAAGAAGTCTTGCGGGGTTATTAATCACATTTAATGATAGTTCTAGTTGTTTTTAGTTCAAGACATATAATTCTGTCACAAATCATCGGGCAAATACCAAATTCGAACTTGGCTTGTATATTTTGGTTGAATACCTGTACATGCGAATTCAACCTTACACTAATACTTGTACTTAGATTAATTGTTTTGTGGCTAGTTATTATGTAATAAGTTTCATATTTCGTCTGTATAACTAGGGTTGAGTGACTTAAAGTACCATGCCAATGACATTTCGGTGACATTAAAACGTTGTGATAAAAAAGCAACAGTTGGTATTATTTTTATAAATGATTTGTTGGGGTATGACATAAGATAAATTATCTGTAAGAACTCAAATAAAACGTCATAATAATAAATAAATGTTAACCTTTTGACGCATTAATTATTTATTGTTGTAAATCCTCCGCAGTAATTTGGTTATTCATACACTACTTTCTAAGCTCACATTAATATGCATTATGTAGACCCTTGAAATGTTTGTACTTAATACAATTTACTCATCATAATTATGTTACGTGACTGACTCATAATTTATTCAGTCCTTACATTAAAATTTACGTAGTTAATTGTACAGAGTTTTTAAATTAGTTTTATTATACATTACACAAATAATGCATGTTTGTAAGTATGTAAATGAGCTACCCATTAAAGAAAATACATCACAGAAAAAAAACACTATTATTTTTAAATATAATAATTAACTTGGTCGAAAGAAACAGCAAACTATATAAGATAAACAAACAAAAATAAGGTTTATACTAATTCCTGCAGATTTGTTCTCATAACTTAGCATGCTTTGTGTTACATTTCTTTGAATAAGATAAGTTTGTTACAACATTTAACAGCTCTATGTCACATATGCATGCATATCACAAGGAACTTTCAAATAAATTCACAGCTCTATAGTATAAAAACACAAGGAAATTAATTTTACATTCAAGGTCCATAGGATATTAAACACAAGTAATCTTATCTCATATTTGGAGCTCTAACGTATATTAAAGACAATGACGTCATATGGGCAGCTTTAGGCACTCAAAAAGTACTTATTTCGCATTTAGAGCTCTACAGAATAAGACACACATTGACAATACCTTAGATTCACAGCTCTACAACATCATAATCACGAGGATATAGGCATCACATTCTCAGTTTTACAGAACTAGAAACACAAGATACCTTATCTGACATTCACTACTCGACATTTCATTAAAGCAGAAAAGGGGACGGCAAATAGGCCCTCCATACATGTTACTATAAAAGGTGATACACATGACTGTAAATATTATGAATTAATTCATCAGTTTGCATACTGTTTGCATCCGTAGCGCCGCGGAACAGTCAGTCACTTAATGTCATGAGCTGACCGGATTGCTTCAGCTTATAATTAAAGGGAAGAATGTATTGAATCAAAAATGGAAAGTCATACCGCACAGATCGTTAAGTTATGAAAATGACTTTAGCATATCAATTTTTATGTGAGTTTCAGTAATAAAGGACGATGTAGCCGTTGGAATTTTTGGAAGATGATACAAAAATCAGCAAAATGTCTAAAGAAGCCAAAGTCTGCCTCAAGTGCATTGTCATATCAATTGTCTTATAAATATTATAATGTATGTCATATACTTTTTTCTTTTTTTCCACCGGTTCAAAAGAAACGGACAGAACACGAAATTGCTAAAAGATGGACGGACGGGCATACTAATGTTATATTATTAAACCCCAAAGTTCCTTCAGGTTAAATTCAAAAGTTTATTGTATAAAGCATGTAAGTACATTAACAATAGCACAATACAATTAAATAATATTATTCTAATATGGATTACGGCGAGTAGATACATGTATAATGTTTTCAGAAGAGGCAATAATATTTCTAGCACACATTTGTTTGTTAACAATATTTCTATTTGTTAATATCATACACACAACATAAATCAAACACACTAAACGTTTGCTAGAAATGATGGCAAAATGGTTAATTATGCGTTCCTTTTTCTCATTTCAGAGTAAATTAATTTAAATGGATATGGTGGAGTTAGATTTTCAAATTTACAATGATTATTTTTATTCTCAATTTGCTTTAATGCGGACATACTAGTTAAAAATGATATTCACTTTCAACGTGGATCAAATTACAAAAAATACACAATATGTCTGCTTTTATTAAATTTTCTTATCTTACTGTTTCGATACGAAATATATGGGACGAAGTTCTAAATCTGTATAGTGCATTTCACTATTTATCTTCTTGAATAACAACCTTTTCTAATATACAAAAATAAAGTTTAAAAAGTGCATATAACTACAGTCTTCCACAGTTATTTATGTCAGAATACCACATATGTTTATAAGTATCATTTATCTTCGTTGTTGAAAGATTGGGATTCCAATAGCTCATTCATGTGAAAATCCATGATTGATAAAAAAAACTGATTTTTACGGTATGTCCGATTATTATTATTATTTTTTTTATTATAATTGTTATTATTATTTTCAATATTTATTATTATTATCATTTATTATTATTATTATTATTATAATTGTTATTATTATTTTCATTATTCATAATAATTTATTATTATCATTATTTATTATTATTTTTTTATTATTATTATTTTTATTATTTTACGGGAATCAGGTTTCCCCAATAAAATATAGACACATTTGTTTGTAGACTTTTTGTAGCGTACATTGCCTTATTATCTTAAACGAGTTTACAGCTAACATTTTTAGTAATGGTTTTCTGTCAGCGGAAAGCTTTGTACATGTCTATCTTGACAAAACATTGTTGGTAATAAATACAATATCACCTTTCGCCTGAGTTAAGCAGTTTATTATTCGAAATAACCTATACAGAATGAGGATTCTGAATAAAAACTTAGTCAACTATCGATTAACTTTTCTGGAAAAAAATATTAGATCTAGTTGATATTTTTTTCAAAATCAGTTGACCATTTTGAAAGCGTTTTTTTTGTTGTTATTGCTGTAAAATTTGCGTTTACATTTTAGCAAACACATTTATTAGTATTAAATGCTATGATATATTTAAACAAAATTATTAATGAGTTATGATACATTGCTATTTATACAATTTTTGACAAGTGAGCCTCTGAATTTAATGTGATATTCACCGGCAGATGACGTATATCCGATGTCAATATGATTTCCTACTGGTGAATATCATATCATATTCAATGTGGCACTAGTCAATAATTGTTTTATAATGTGTTAAAGCAAATATATATTATTCATAAATTATACACTATAAACACTTATTTCTAACTCCTCCTCCATCTTATAAACTTTCCTCAGAGTTTCAATTTTTTTTAAAAAATCAGAAACACACGATAAAAAGCATTTCCGTGTTTACATGTGTAAAAGCGAAAAAGAGACGTCATTTAAATCGCTGTAGTGCACATTTAAAAGTTTATAGTCATCATTGCAGTATGACTAGTAAAATAATAATATTTCTTAGAAATATGCCATAAAAAACATTTATAATATACGAGTACACGCGTAATAAACAATCTACGAAGTATGGTCATTTGTTATGAGTTTCATACTGGTCTACATTGGAACAATTCGTTTCAACTAGTGAATATGATAATTATGGGACCCATTAATATGACTTTTATGAATTGTTCTGTTCACTGTTGTTTGAAACCATTGAGATTGCAACTATATTAGGATCACAGAATAACACAAATCAATAAGTTATATGATATACATGTATTAAAACAAATTGAATTATGATGCATTAAGACAAAATGAATAATGAGACATTAAAAACAAAATAGTTAATGTTGTTTCTCAATTCCTATGCCTTGTAACTGAATGAGTAAAGATCTCGCGATGCGCGGATTTTTTTTTAATTCATGTTTCAAGTTAAAGACACTTAAATTTCGTATATACTTAATGCCAAATTTATACCACACTTACAACAATATTGTTATTGGTATTATAAAGTTAGCAACGTCTTTCAAGATCACACTCGCAAGTGATACAAGTTTTTGTTAGCTCATATCAGGCATGTGAAAAAATTGGGTTTCATGTACAAATAAATTTTATATCAAAAGAGTAATCTAACATAATGTAAAAAAAATCTGCAAAATTGTGCATAAAAAGTTTAACAATTAACTACGGGAACTATTTCAGGCCCGAGTGTACATTAATATAATTATTGACCTTCCGTGATTAAGCTTCTTGCTACCATATATTATTTCACAATATCTTTTACATACCTTTACTAATGTTAAGGTTTTCACAGGAAATTTGGTTTGTACCATTTTTGAAGCATCTCGAGTATGGAAACTCTGTTGGCTTATAAACAACCTCACGTTGAAGAGATACTGAAATAGAAAACAAAGGTTTTATGCTTTTAACTGTGTATTCAATACATAATTGGAAAGACAACTCAACACAACAGTATTCAAAAATAATCTGTCTCGGCTTTTTCTTATGAAGAATGTTTAAACTGTGAACAATATGAATACAAATGTAAATACTAGGTCGCGGCCATTTTGACGAGTCCTACTTTTGGAGACAGGGATGACAACGTATGCGATACATTGTAATGAAAATTGAGTTAAGAACTTTAACAAACAACAATGATTTAGCTGCAATATATTCGAAACAATCTTTACATTGAAGATGAGGCGATGAATTTATTTGTATTTTACATGTATATATTGTAATATATATCTCATACTGAAATTTTTTTTCAACCCAAATTCTTTTGTTTGGTCTGATTATTTCATATACTTTGATCCAGTCAGAGCCGTTTAATTCGATTAGAATTTGATATTAAACTGTTCTGATTCAAGTTCCTATTTTTATATTTTATTAATACATTTTAGTAACTAAAACTTTAGAGGATGTTTTGGGATGGTTGTGTTATCCCAGATATTTAGGACAAATCGTTTACCATGGCGCAAAACTTTTACGGACAAATACCAGCAGATAATTTGATTATCTTTTTGATTTCCAGAAGATGGAATCTTTTGAGCCTGTTTCTTTATATAGTTATGACGAAACATTTTTTTCTTCCAAAGACTGTCTATGGTAATTAGCAACAAAAGGAATAAAATCAGATAAGTTATCCAGGCTAAAGCTATATGCGGTTTGTGGAAATTTTTATTTGACAACTGATCTTAGACATTGTGTTTAAAATAAGTTTGTCTCTTACAGATGATTCCAAACTTTCTTATGTAAAATTTATTGTCGGTCCCTTGCATAGAAATTGTTATTACTGTTATGCTATTCAGAAAATCCGGCTAGGTTTGCCTGTTCCATTTTTTTCTTTTTGTTTGTTGTTGTTTGTTTTTTTAGAGGCGGAAAGCGGTTATGTAAACACACAAACTAACTAGTTCCACGAGGTGATTTTTTTGTGTTTCGCATGAACTGCTTTCGTTAATGTCGAATCCTTAATAATATATTCCAATACATTGGTTTTTCTCTATAAAAATGCTATAAATACTAAGTTCATGGCACTAGTGCATGTAGTGAGCTTCATTTAATAATTTGATCTTGAAGACAATGCCTTTAAAAGCCACATCACAAATTATTTTACATTTAGTTTTTATCATAAGTTATGTCAAGTCCAAGCATATAGAAACCTGTTAATCAATTTTAGCATAATTCATTTTTTTACTTTGATGGTAAATGTCAAGGTTACATTCAAATGGTGTTGTTTTGACTAAATACGAAAACAAGCCTGTCAGGTATCCGCCATTTAGTGCACATTTCTGCGTTACTTATTGCACGAATCGTGCGTTATTTTCACATTCCGGCGTTACTAGATATTCACGGTGAATATGGTGAATTTATGTTAGCAGCTGCCAAGAATAGCGCGGAATTGATTGATACATACTGCATACGTAATCAGGGACGAAACCTTAGTGTAGTGTAAAATGGTCCGTATGGGATATGACCAGGATATGCCCATAACCTTTCTGTTGAAAACTAGGAGGCAGTTACCGAGAATTAGCGCGGGAACGATTGTTTCTCTGCATGCATACTGCATACGTAATCAGAGACTATACCCTAGTGTTATATGGCCCTAGTGGGACATTCCGAGGATATGCAAATGACCTTTAGGTATTGATTGTTCAAATATAGTTATGTTGAAAGCAAGTAGGCAGTTGCCGAGAAATAGCTCGGAAACGAATGTTACTCGATATACATACTGAATTATTAATGAGGGACCATGGGTCTGTCTGGAACATGCAAATGATTTGCGAATTAAATGCTCCCAAAGTGTTCGTTAAAATCCAGTCAGTAGTTGACTAGAAATAACGCGGAAATAGGCGATTTCAATTTTTCCTCAAAGCTTTTGATATATTTCCATAATTGTCATTTTACAAATTTACTACATGTATTTTATTTTTTTATAGAAATGTTTGTCAATTTTATGTAATATATAATCGTTCGGATAGGCGTTACAGAGGTTTACTATTTGAACGATGTTCTTCTCCCATTTTAAAAGTTACTTTCATTTTTATTTTAATTATTAGATATAGATATACAAATAAATTCTTACAATTAGAATCGAGTTGCTTAGGACATTATTTATATATTTTTTTATTTGGGAAGAAGCGCGTTACACAATTGCAAGCGGCAACAAACTACTCATTCATTGTCTGGAAATGCACATCAAGAAACCCTTTCGTTCCTTCTAGTCCAGGGTTTACAGATGTCAATTCGTACAAAACATTTAGGAATATGCGCAGGAATTGGATAGGGTGAGGCGGGGGTGGGGGCATGGGGGTTGAATTACTTTCACTTTATGACAGAGGCCGTTCTAAAGATATTTAGGAATTCCAGTCCGGACAATTCAAATTGTAGCATCCTTAAACTTAAAACCCTCACTTGCATATGTGAAAAATACGTACCGATATGTCTCATATTTTCTGTGAAATTTTCGTTATACTAAGAGGTGGTTGAAAAATAGGGCTTCAGAATTTCAAAGCACCTTTTTGTGCCAAATTCGTACGAACTTGTCACACAAGTGTGAGGAATTCGAGTGAATTGTTCACATGTGTGACGAATTCGTTTTTGTGAATATTGAGGTTCAACATACGCAATTTATTTAAGCCTATTTGTAACAAAATGCAAATTATTTGACGTGCGCCGGGAACTGAAACCAATGTCGTTAAACAAATTAAGTAACTAGAGTAGATATTTTGTAAATGATTTGTTGTAATGTAAAAAAAAATAAACTTATAAAAGTTATAGGTTGTATGTGTGATTAATTATCTATTGGCGTTAAAAATGAATCGCCTATAAGATTTGTCACGGACTTTTGGTACAACCCTAGTATCAGTATTTTAACAGACAAAATCGGAAATGTAAACGTCTTCGTGATTATTATATTTTAAAGGAAGAACTCTACTGAGGTCTAAAGGCCTAAAAACATAAAATTTGAAAATCTTAAAAATATGTGAAACACTTAAAATGGTAAACCCTGCAAAGGATTATAAAGTAATTTACTAAAAGCTGATCTGATTATCTATTTTCTGATGCGATTCTTCGCTGGATTTGAGTGTAAAGCGTTTGAACGCTTTTCATTTTCTGGTCATTTAGAGCAATAAAAATGATAATCCTGGAAAAACTGGATGAGGGTGTGACCTGAAAATGTGCACACAAGTTATTAGCCCAGAACTTCATCAAATTGTACACCAATCTCGGGAAATTGTTTCCAGTCCCGGCACGTCAAAAAACGTCAGTGGAGTCCCTTTAAATAAATACCATACATTTCTCAACTAGCAGGTATAGCAGTTATATACAATTTAATTAGGTACATATTGATGCACAAATGAGCAGACGAATTATATCCTAAAACAATATATTTTATTTCTCATTATTTATAGCCTTAATTGTAATATAGTCGTAGAGTTTTTATGTATTTATAAGATTTTTGTTTGTTCATTCATGCTTTGATAATATTTTTGTTGGGTTTACCTGCACACAAACACAGCAGGAGTCACATCAGGACAACTGTCCGGCATATTTGTTGGAGGAAGACCTCAGGTGCCCCTCCGAGCATACGACGAGCATCTGAGTAGAACCACCGATGTTACGTAAGCTAGCTTGATAGCTTCCTCACATGAAAGAATTCAAAGTCTCTGGCGGGATTTAAAGTCATAGTCATTAGCCACTTGGCTATGTAACATGTTTAAAGTGACATTATGCCCATCTAAGAGTATATAGGGAGTGAACAGGTGAAGATCAAAATAAGTTTTCATTTTGCCATATTTCCTTAAGGTCGCATAAACAATAAATAACGCACAGATCCAAACAAAATTTCTGTTTTTTGTTTGTTTGGATTTTTACGGCACGTCAACACATAACTGGCCATATCGTGCCGAATGCTATTAAAGGCTTAAAATGTTATGTAAAACTTTGTTAATGACAATAGAAATGAACCAATTAGATCCTAGAATACAAGTTTATCTCTTTCAAATAATCAATTATGTTTTTGATGGAATTGTATTAAAAAGTTCTTTGAGTGAATTTACAGAATAAAATCTATTTCGGGCCTTTGAAAAATCATGACATTCAAGAAGAAAATGCTTGACAGTAAAATTTTCATTACAACCTACACAGAAAGGGGCATTGTCATTTGTAAGGAGATAAGAGTGGGTAATTTTAGTGTGTCCAATTCGGCATCGAAGAAGAACTGTTTGATCACGGCGGTTCGACAGAGATAGAGATGGTGATACATCAAGAGACGGGTTTATATCGTGAAGTTTATTAAAAACGGCTTTGTCCCAGTTTGCTTTCCATTCAGATGATACGAGTGTATTTATAGCCGGTCTTAAATCACAAGCAGGTAACAATAAGTCAGTTTTTTGAAAATTTAATGATTGTTTAGCTAAAGCATCAACTTTTTCATTTCCTCGTATTCCTACATGACTTGGAATCCAATATAATTTAACATATTTTGTTTTTAGTATATCATGAAATCGTAAAAGAAGTTTCTTTACTATGATATTGTCAGATTTTTTATTTGTAATGGATATTAAAACAGAAAGGGTGTCAGAAAATATCACAAATTTATCGTGGGTATGCTGTGCTATGTATGATAATGCTAAATCGATAGCTTTTGCTTCAGCAGTAAAAATTGATGCATTATCTGGTAACCTCATACAAGATGTAAAATTATTTTCAAACACAGCACCTACTTTGCAACCTTCTTTTGAACCATCCGTATAAATATGTATAAAATCTTCATGTTCTTTCTTATTTGCTAGAAACTTCTTTTTGAAGTATTCAGGTGAATTTGATGACTTTTTTTTATATTTGAAAGGTTAATATTTATTTTCGGGGAATTATAAGTCCAAGGTGGAACATCCTCATCGTCATTTTGAAGGATACTGTCTGAATTAATTTTAAGTTTATCTAAATCATCTTTTAAACGAAGGCCTAATGGTTTAATTTCCTTTGGTTTGTTAACAAATTTTTCAGTATAACTTGGTTTGAAAATAATATTTTTAGCTGGATTTTTGCTATTAGATGAAATTCTAGTTGCGTATTGAAGTGATAGCTTTTTTCGACGAAGATGAAGCGATGGTTTCCCAGCTTCCGCATATAAACTTTCTACAGGTGAAGTGCGAAAAGCACCTCAAGCTAAACGTAAACCCTGGTGATGTATGGTATCTAGCATTTGAAGAAATGATTTTCTTGCAGACCCATATACTACAGAACCATAATCTAATTTTGATCGGATAAGACTTCTGTATAATTTCAATAATGTGGAAGAGTTTGATCCCCAATTTGTACTTGATAAAACCTTAAGTAAATTTAAAGCTTTTAGGCATTTAGTTTTCAAATGTTTAATATGTGGTATTAAAGAAAGTTTTTTATCAAATATAATTCCTAAAAACTTAGCTTCATCAACTACTGGAATTTTAGAACCAGATATGTAAAGTTCAGGGTCATTATGTTGTTTCCGCAATCGACAGAAATGAACACATTGAGTTTTTGACTTTGAAAATTTAAAACCATTTTCTATTGCCCACTTTTGAATTTTATATAAATTTTGTTGAAGTTGCCGTTCAATTGTTCTCATACTTTTCGATCGATAGCAGATAAGAAAATCGTCAAAATCTCTGTAAATATCCATTAGAATTTACTTAAAACACTTAGATAATAGAAAGAGTGGGGCAGCCTTTTAAAATTTTAGGCAGATTTATGATTTTATCCTGAACATTTTCAAATATCAACAGTAGGTCAAACACCATTTTGACAGTCAATCTTTTGAAATTTAAAGTCAATTCAACTCAACTTGACTGAAAATATAAGCATAAAGTCACTTTAACTTTGCAAGTAATAAAAGGTAAAATTTACCTGTATTTAAATAGCTGACAATAATAAAGATGATGAGCCCCTTCCAATCCATTTCAGTTGAAGATAAATATGAAATTTCACAACAATCATTGAACGTCTAAAATTTGTGGTTAGCAATAAATCAAACGTTTCGTTACCTACATAACGAATAAATGTTTGGGCTGTTGTTTTATTGCGCTATGTCCCTGCACATATAAACTAGATGAAATTTATTTGAGAGGTAATCGTGAAATGTCAAATTCTGGCATTTGGCGACAATTAACTAATTAACTATTTTATGTCAAATTTGTAATTGCATATGCAATTATGTGGCAAATTGCTTCCAGAATTCTACAGTATTGCAATCGCTTAATTCCATGTTATGTCTCGTCAACTACTGACTGTCTACAGTTACCACAAATTTGTTTTGCTTTTTACATGTCTGGAATGTTAATAGCAAAATTAACGCCACTATTATTCATTTGCAACTGGAACAATATAATAAAATGTTTGTAATAATATAACGAAGTGGCAATCATGTCAAAAACAAGCAATTATCCATAGTGCCAATAAAATGTTTCAATGTTTCATTTGTTCCTCAAAAGTTTTCTCAGTACGAAAAAAACTAAATGTTTACAAGTCAAAGTATTTATTAGCATAAACATATATAAATGTTTTTCGCCACACATAATTGGCGGTTAGATTAAATAATCTAATCTAGAAGATAAGTCTCATTCAGATAACCATTGTTGTAAATATTGATCATGGATTCTTTGAATAATTAATTTAATATTCATTTCAGAGATTCTATCACAATTCCACAGGCAAGAAAAACCAAGGTCATGTAATAACTTTTTTTACATTACATGACCAACTATTTAACAATGTATTATTTCGTCCAATTTATACATAGTTAAGTCAGACATATATTATACCAAAACTTAATTATTCTTATTTTACGTACAATATAGAAAGGAAATACACCAAATTCCCCATAAACTGCAGTACTGCGTGTTTGTTGTTTAACACCAAGTATTTGTTTTAGAAATTTTAAGTATATACACGTTCTATGTCCGGAGATTTATGGAAACCCCATATTTCAGATCCGTAACATAAAATTGGTTATACCATTGTATTAAAGAGTTTTAATTTATCTTCAGTACCTAAATTAACATTATCAACAAGCAATTATCATAGTATTGCAAGCAATCCATAAGTCCCCTACCGGTTAGAACCCCATCAACATTCTGAAGGGCCATTGGCCATTCACTAATGTTTCAATTTTTCTCTATTTTAAGTAAATGTGTAGGAAAAGTTCTTAAGTTCTAAAGTTAATATTTGAAACATCCTTGTTACCAAAATATAACATTTTTAAAAGCAAAATTCTTAAAGAGGAGATAACTCTTGCATTAAAGATGCAATTTTATAAGAAAAAATCAGCTCTTTTTTACTAATCACAAATATTGTTATATTTGCCATGTTTTAAGCCTGTTTGTTGCCAAGGCAACCGATATTTTTTCAAAATAGGAAAAACAGATAAGACATGCATAATCTCAAGACTGCCATCTACCCATATGTCAAGTTTCATAAAAATATTTCGAGTACTTTTTGAGTTATCACTGGATTCAGTTTATGTGTAAAATTTGCCATATTTTCAGTCTATGTGTTGCCATAGCAACCAGAATTTTCAACATAGGAAGAAAAGAAAATGACGTGCATAATCTCCAGACAGACATCTAGCCATATTACAAGTTTCATAAAAATATTTCTATTACTTTTTGCGTTAACACTGGATCCAGTTTATGTGTAAAATTTGCCATATTTTCAGTCTATTTGTTGCCATAGCAACCAGAATTTTCAACATAGGAAAAAAAGAAAAAGACGTGCATATTTTCCAAACTGCCATCTACCCATATTTTAAGTTTCATAAACATATTTCCAGGACTTTTTGTGTTATCACTGGATCCAGTTTATGTGTAAAATTTGCCATATTTTCAGCCTATTTGTTGCCATAGCAACCAGAATTTTCAACATAGGAAGAAAAGAAAAAGACGTGCATATCTTCAGACTGCCATCTACCCATATTACAAGTTTCATAAAAATATTTTCAGTACTTTTAAAGTTATTGCGGGATCCAGTTTTGTGGACGGACGGACTGACAGACAGACAAACAGACGGACGGATGGTAAACCGAAAGTCCCCTCCGGTAAACCGGTAGGAGACTAAAAAGGGAGTTCAAAGAATAAAGAGCCTTTAAACATTGGGCAGACAATGATTTTTGAGCTTGATAAAAACTTCAATTAGATGATAGTGTTTCTCCTAAATAAGTTAATGTTTTAAATTGTTTTAAAATTTTATTGTCATTCTTAACTGATATATTTGAAGGTCTTTTACCTTTTCTAAAAACCATTACAACTGTTTTATCTTAATTAACTTTAATACCCCATTCCCTACAATAATTATACAATTTATTAAGAAGAATTCAGTTAAACTTCTTGAAAAAATAATTGCCATGGACACGTTAAACTTTTATACCTTTCTTCTGTTATAGTAAACCAATAGAATTATTGAAATATTGATTTTGACTAAAAGCTGCTTGGATTCTTGTAGACAAGTGCAGCAATAATCAATCCATTTGCATTAGTTATTAGCATTTTAGAATAAATTTTAGATTAAATATTATTCATTGTGATTCCTCGAAAGTTCCGCCTTTGAAAATAGAAACTATTATGCCTTGTTGCCAAGTTTCAGGGAAGATACCTTCGGTGAATAATTTGTTATATAATTGAAGTAAGAAAGGGGAAATAATATCAAAAGAGTGTTTAAATACTTCGGCTATCAAGTGATCTTCACCCGGACTTTTTGAATTATTTTGACTGTAAACAGCATATTTCAATTCCGAGATAGTGAATAACGCATCTAAACAATCATTTTGGACAATCTGTTCTTGTTGATCATCCAAGTTATAATCTGACACAGGTTGTGTTCCATATAAATTATTGAAATGCATATAAAAATCGTCAATAGATATATTATTTGGACCCCCGTTATTTTGTTTATATTGCGATTTAACGTCCTTCCAAAAAGCATTTTTTTTATTTTCTGTTGTTTTATGTCTTAAATAGTAATTTCTCGCTACATTGAATTCATGGCGGGCATTGTAACACTCTTGATTAAACCATTTCTTTTTTTCTTTTGAAAATTTACATAAACTCGGCTTATTTGTTTTTCTGTTTTTACCAAAAACACTGAAAGCTTGTTCTTGCATATAAACTGTGAATTGTTCGACCGATTGATCAACGCTTGTCAAATGTAAGTTTTGCACGATTTGATCTATATTCGTTTTGGTATCTATTAAAGCATTCCTACATAATTCAACACGCGTGTTATCCCATGCAATATACGACTCGCTATTTGGTACTACGTCATCACGATTCGGACGAAGGCGTGGTTTACATCGCAAATGTATATGTATAGCGTTATGGTCTGAAAACTCGGTCGGTGTCATAATATCAAAGAGGGATATCATATCAAAGTTTACCCGATGTGTTAATAAATAATCAACTGTTGACAATCCATTATTACCGATAAAAGAAAAGTCACCTATATTCTTGTCGCTGTGAAGTCGGCCGTTACATATTAATAAATTTGTTGTCTTACACATTTGTATTAATCGCTTCCATGATTATCTAATATTGTGTCTTTGTTTGCTCGAATTAAGATATTGTACTCATTATCTATAAGATCAGTATTATCATCTATAAATCTATCATATACTATAAAATCAGATTCCTTAGATGTTCTAGAGTTAAAGTCGCCAGTGACAAAGACTTGAATGCAATATTTTTCAATACCTATTTCAATCAATTCAAAAAAATCTTCTTGATTGCGATTAATGACTTTTGAACCAAAAGGAGGAATATATGTACAGCAAATAAATACATCCGTATTAGAGTTAAATATAGATTTACATAGTTTAAACCACATAATACCACACTGATGTTCTTCTATAAAGTTAATCTTGTCACACAATTCAGATTTATAATATATAATTGTAATTCCACCAGAGTAGCGTCCTTTACGCGTGGTTACAGATTTGTTTCCGTACAAATGATGTGCGTTATATCCTTGAATATTCAGGTTGTAATGTGTTTTTTGTGATAACCAAGTTTCAGTTAAGATGTTTATGTCATGTTTTTTTATCAAATCCACAAAATCTGGATCAGCGATTTTCCGTACTAACCCGTTGACATTCCATGATAATAAATCAAGTGGGTTCTCTTCACGACTTCCCTATGATGTGTTGTTGGTATACTGTGATTTAAATTCAATGCCATTGATGAAAAGCTTTTAATTTTTTATTCTCCTATGAATTTAACATTATTTCCCTTCCGTTTCTCAGCGTTAAAGATAGGATATAATTTTTGTCGAGCTTCGCGCCATTCTTTTGGAAGCTGCACCCCAACTCCAACATTATTTGCTTTCATGTCGTCTTTACGTCCTAAAGATGCCTTGCGTATCCGTTCCCGGTCATTATAATAGTGAAATTTCACAATTATGGGTCGAGGTTTCTTGGATTTGCGATCATTGCCTAGCCTGTGTGCTCGGTCGAACACTATATTATCAGCTTTAACTTTCAATACGTCCTTAATGAATTGTTTGACAAGAATCTCGCACGCTTGCGTTTCAAGGTCTGTACTTGCTGCCATATGTGATATTTCTTGTTCGTCAGGTTCCATGCCGATGTTGTCATCACTTGTAGCTCCGTTGAAAGTATCCGTGTTACTTTGTGTAGACAAGACTGGGATTGGTGCAGTTTCTGATATGCCATAAAATATGAGATTATCCCTCATACTACGGAATTCATTCTCGGCCACATTGGCTTGGATTTGAGCGTTGGTGCATTCAAGGCTTTTAATAGTATGTTTCATAGAGTTACATTTTTCTTTAAGAGAGTTAACATCTGTTTTTGTTGTACTCAACTCTAATGTTTGCCTTTCGTATTCTGAATTAATAAACGAGTTGAACTGGTCCGTATCAGTGACCCGATTGTCTATTTCATTGACTTTTATCGATAAATCACTGAGTTGAGCGGTCATCAAATAAACTGATTTTTCTGTTCCATCGATTTTAGAAACACTTGTTTTTATGTTTTTTATGTCATCTGACATGATTTTAATGTCTTC